TCGTACATGGACATGGCTATGCCCAACAATTCGCGCTTGGTTGGAGGTCGTGTACCATCAATAACATCGTGAGTAATTTTGTGGAATTTAAACTGAAATTCAAGACCATCGTTAGCAGTGTTCCAAAACATACCAAGAACTTTTTCCATTGTTGCTTGACGCTCCATTCTTATGATTTGCTTGTTGGCAGATGAACCTTCACCATTCAGCTTCTGTTGAACTAGTTTGTCGTTGGATATAAAATCGCGGAGCTTGAAAGATGCAGCGGCGTTGATTTTGACAGCTTCGTTGATGACCTCAATAGCTTCTTCGGCACTATTAAAACTCATGACCAAATCGTCGACATATGTATTTTCAATGACAGCTCGTGCACCCCTTGGCATCGTAGACATGAATTTGATGGCGTTGGTATTTTTAACGTGCTCCGCACAGCACGGCGAACAAATAGCTCCAAAAATCATTGACGACATTTTATAAATACGTATAGGCTCGGACGTGTTGCCATCTCGCCACAGAAATCGTTGTGACTCTTGATCGGCCTCCAGAATTTGTACTCGCGAGAACATCTCCTGGATGTCACCGGCCACAGCGACGACACCCTGACGAAACTTGTGTATGATAGCTATCAGTGGCTGAGCTTGCTCCGGACCCTTCAGCAACACAGAATTAAGCGAAATACCATTTGTAGCGGCGGCTGCGTCAAAAACGATGCGGAGTTTTTGCGGCTTGTGTGGATTCACAACACCAAAGTGAGGGAGGTACCAAGTTCTTGGTCCTTCCACGGAGGCTTCATCAGGCGTCAATGGCTTCGCATATCCTTTGTCGAGGTACTTCGCGACTTCCCTCTTGTAGTTTTCCGCGAAAACTGCATCTCTCTGCATTCGCGACTCGATGTTAAGTAGGCGGTGCTTGGCCATTGCATAGCTTGGCGGCAGAATGGCCGAGTCCTCCCGCCATAACAGGCCAACTTCATACCCCTGACCGAGGTCCCTTGTTGTTTCCGCCAATATTTTTCTGGCGCGTTGGTTTTCGTCCGACTCCAAGACGACTTGACTGTTGACACCAAAATTTTCTGTAGCAAAATAATCCTCCACTAGCTTATTTAATTGCTTCAATGCGTCTGACTTGCGAACATGAAGAACTCGAGGAACGGCAACGCTTTCTTGGCGGTGAGGTCCATATACGACCCAACCCAACCTAGTGTTGATGGCGACTGGTTGGTCATATCGGGCTGCGACTGTTTTGATGGGCACACTTAAGTGACAATTATCCAAACCCAGCAGTAAAACTGGTTTGACATCGACGTAGTTACGCACAGGCAATTCTTTTAAGTGCACGTATTTAAACTTATCGAGCGATTGCCTCGGCAGATTAAGGCTTTTTATCGTATGCACATCTTTCAGAGAATAGTTGTTACCATTCACCCCTCTCACATCACATGACACTGGCCTTGAGTTCTCTGTTGTTTGGCTGTCACCGTACCATTGCAGGGTAAGTGGCTTAACACGTCCTCTCAACCCAAGCCGTGTTGCGACCTCTTCCTCCAGTAGAGACACAGATGACCCCTCGTCAAACATAGCATACACGTTCACACTACCATGCGGGCCAGACAATATCACCGGCAAAATTTTAAATAGGCTGACTTCACTTTCTTGGCGACAGTTGAGGATGCGTTCCCGGTCGGCGGTTGGCTGTGACGACGGCTGATTGTCTTGATGCAGCAACTGATGATGCATACGCTTGCAACCATTGATGGCGCATGCTTTACGACGACGGCAATCAGATAACCCATGACCTGCTTGTAGACAACCGAAACAAAGGCGGTGTTGTTTGACAAGCAACCACTTGGCTGGGCAATCATTTGATTTAAATTTACGGCAATCAGTTAAGACGTGCGACTGATCACAACACAAACATACAGGCTGCTCCCCACTGCTGTGTAAGACTCGACGTGCCGGAACTCCACTTGACGCAAACTGACGACTGCTACCGGATTGCTGACGCGACGATGGCAACGACGCTTGGCTGTAACGCAGAGAAATTTCAGCTACCCCAGGCATGATTGACACGACCTTGGCCAAGTCGCTCAACCAATCTGCAAATTTGTCTACTGTAGGAAACGGCTTAATGTTGGCAGCATGCTTGCTCCACTCATATTGTTTCGACGGCGGCAGCTTCGAGATCAATTGCTCTAGAAGTGTAGGGTTCATAAGATGGTGCTCACATTGCGCCGATTTGAAAAACGCGGCTATGTTGCGAACTCGATTGGAAAACTCCAGAACCTGATCTAGGCGGTTGTCGTGAATTGTAGGAAACTGTTGAACTTTTTGTAGTTGCGCACGTATTAACAAATCGTGCCGACCAAAATTGAATTCGAGTTCCTTCATTACTTTGGGCACATCGTCGGGATATATGAGCATGGACATGACTGCTCGTTTGGCATTGCCTTGCAGCGCTTTCTGCAATCGCATGAGATTTTGCCTGTTATTATAGCCGAACTCTGCTGTAGTGTCCACATAATTTGCCGAAAATAATGGCCAATCTTCCGGACTGCCATCGAAAGTTGGCAAAGGGTATAGCTTGGCGGCTGAACCCTCGACAAACTGCAATGCATTTGTTGGCAACGGCAATGGCGGCTGTACTACAGGCAATTGTTGTACTGCTTGAGGGAACTGTTGAACTGGCGGCTGTACTTCACACGTTGGCGCGGTGGCATTGGCTGAATCCATTTCCATTCGCAGTCGGAGCTGTTGAACTTCTGCTTGGCTACGGCTGGTTTCGTTACGCAACTCTTCAACACTTGCACGTAGTGACGCAATGCTGGCAACCAAGGTGGCCAACGCATCGCCTCCGACGTTGGCTTGTGGTTGTGCCATAGCGTCTTGGGCTCCAATGTTGACTGCGGTGGCATCTGCGTCCGAATCGGAGTTGCTAGCATCACCATCAGCGGCAGCTGGAGTTTCGTTTGTCTGGCTTCTTGTGAGCATTTTCGATTGGTATAATGCAGAAGATTCGGGAAGTTAGGTTAGCGCACCTAACACCCTTTGCAAAAACGTACGTGCAGTTGTACGTCCAACTGTTGCTCGCAAAGTTCGCTTAAACAGTAACGCAAGTATTTTAAAAAATGTTCAAATGAGTCTGCAGGCCTCGTAGATTATTCGCGAAAAACCTATGACCAACAAGATCAACACGCTGTGCCCAAAAAACGTACGTGCAGCTGTACGTCCAACTGTATATTTTTTACAAAATCCGCTTAAACTGTATCGGATGACAAATTTCTTGAAGCGGTACTCTTCCAGCAAAACGGCACCTCCAATGCAACGGTCAGCAACTCGTCCAAATTACACACAAAACACACACGATGGCAGCGAGCATAAGCGTAATTGGAAAACTTTTGTCAGCAAAATAAAGGACGGCACCAATTTATGTTAAATGTAAAATA